TCTGTGGCCTCTTTCTTGTTTCTCTTTGTTCTGTTTTTTCAGAGCAATATGCCAGTGTTTTGTATTGCAGGACACAAGGAGTGACAAGATGCTGAATCTTGGATACTTTGGTCCAAGGTTTTTTACCTTCTTAGTTTAGGGGCTTTCTCAAACATACTGGTGAACATTATCTTCTTTAGAGAAATTGAACAGTTTGAGGCTTCTGCCAGCTCTTTTGGGTTTCAGGCGATGAGACAAAGTGATACCAGTGAGACCAGGAAGATCTTTCTTCTTCCCTCTTTTTACAATGACCAGGTTGAGAGCACTGAGATTGCATCTACAGTGCAACCCCAAACAGATTTACCCAGTTCTCCGTGGACTGGGACAGGAATGCCCTTTCCGTAGCAGGTGGACATGGGCCAAGACACCTTTCTTCATGGGGGGACCTTGTTAGTAATTCTCATTACTGTTAAGCCTCAGAGCCTTCTGTTCTTCACCCAGAATGTCTGCAACTTCTGTGCCACACGCCTTTCATAAAAGGCACGAAGTTTGTGTTTCTCCTCTGCTTCAGTGAGTTTCTGGTAGTCACTGGCTAGGAAAGAGATACTCAGCTTCATCCAGAAATAGCCGACTACTTCCAAGCACTGTTTATAAAGAGCTGGATGTTGTCTTTTGAAGCACAAAATTTAAAAATTTTCATTTAGTTCAATTTGTCTTTGTTTCTTTTTGTTACTTGTGCCTTTGGAGTCATATCCAAGTAATCATTGCCAAATCTAACATGAAGCTTTTGCCCTATTTTCTTCTAAGAGTTTGATAGGCTGAAACCGGTTTGGCTCAGTGGATAGAGCGTCGGCCTATAGACTCAAGGGTCCCAGGTTCGATTCCGGTCAAGTGGGCACATCCCAAGTAGGGGATGTGCAGGAGGCAGCTGATAGATGTTTCTCTCTTATCGATGTTTCTAACTCTCTATTCCCCTCCCTTCCTTTCTGTAAAAAAAAAATCAATAAAATATATATTTTTATAAGAGTTTGAGAGGTTTAGATCTTACATTTATAATTATTGATCCTCTTTGAGTAAATTTTTGTATATGATGTTAGCTAAGAATCCAATTTCACTCTTTTGCATATGTCTGTTTTTCTCAGCACCATTTCTTGAATATTATTTTGAAATGAATTGTTCAATTATTTTTGCATTTATCTGTTTATTTGTAATATGGTAAATATCTAGATATATTCCTACTTGGAGTCACCAATAATCTTAAGATTGGAAAGGAGACTAAATGTTTTATAACTGTTGACAGACTGGCTGAAGCCCTTTTCTTCCCTGGTACTCTTTATTAGGTCTGTTTTCTGAAGGATGCACAGTGGAAGCACAGCCTCGCCGACATGGGGCCAGGAGCATTGTTGTCACGGACTTTAGGTGCAAAGCAGAGCTACTATATTCCCCAGTTTATGGCAAAGTTTCCCTCTTATGTTTTCTTCTGTCATCTTCTGTTGTAACCCCCTCCCCTCATCCTGGATGTCCATAGTTTTGAGAAAGCCTATATAATAAAAGCCTAATATGCTAAGTGTCCGGTCATCTGTTCAACCAATCAAAGCATAATATGCTAATGGTATGCCACGGCTGCTCAACTGCTCACTATGACACTCTTACTGGTAGGTGAGCTTGCTTCTGGAGTCTGGCCAATTGGGACTGGGTGAGACAGGCTGGACACGCCCTGGAGCCCTCCTGAAGTGCCTCCCCTGTTGGCCAAATTTCTTCATCCCTCCCCAGTGGGGTCCTTCAGCCTGGCCTGCACCCTCTCGCAATTAGAGACCCCTCAGGGGATGTTGGAGAGCCAGTTTTGGCCCCATCCCGCAGGCCAGGCCAAGGGACCCCGCTAGTGCACGAATTCGTGCACTGGGCCTCTAGTCACTTTATAAAAGAAATGACAAACCGACCAGGTTAGGATGCTGGTGTAGGTGTACTTAGTTATCTATATACTAGAGGCCTGGCTCATGAATTCGTGCATGGGTGGGGCCTCTTGGCCAGTGATCGGGGTGATTGGGACTGTCTTGCTGAGTCCCAGTTGGGGCTGATCGGGACCACCTGACCCGGGGGAGGGACTGCAAGAAGTTGGCTGTGGGAGCACAATGACCACTAGGGGGCAGTTCCTGCATTGAGTGTCTACCCCCTGGGGGGCAGTTCGCATCATAGTGACCAGTTGACTAGTTGTAACGGTCACTTAGGCTTTTATATATCCTATATAATAAAAGGTTAATATGCAAATTGTCCCTTGGAAGTTCAACCGCTCACTATGACATGTGCTGGCCACCAGGGAACTGTGCAGAACAAAGGAAAGCCCTGGTTGGCGGCTGGCAGCCAGCAGCCAGGTGAAGGAAGGCCCTGGTCGGCAGCTGAAAGGCCCTGATTGGCCTAGGAACTCTACCCATGCATGAATTTCATACATGGGGCCTCTGATATAAATATAAAAGCTTAAGTAACTGTTGGACCATTCACCAGTAGCTGTGACACGCAGTGACCGTCAGGGTCCACACATTCTGACCCACAGAGGAGGGAGCCTGATTCCTCATGGAATCAACTGTGGGTTAGGTTGCTACTGGGGCACTGTCGGCCCCAAATCTGCTTCACCACACCCTGGACCCAGAGATAGGTTTTGGCCCAGTCCCCGCAGGCCAGGCCGAGGGACCCCACCAGTGCATGAATCTGTGCACTGGGCCTCTAGTTTAAGATAAGAGGTGCATATTAACTAGAAGGTATACTTGGTGTGTATGTATGTGTGTATGTGTGTGTTGGTGGCTTGTTTTTAGACTGCCTGGGGTATACTCATCCTTTCTTACCCATTTGTTGCTTCTTTGTTTTCCGTTTGGTTAGCCTACAGGTTGGTCTGGAACTACTCCCTTTTTCTTCTTTAACTGCATAAAGGGTTTTTCTATTTAAAACATACACATACACACAACCCTAACCGGTTTGGCTCGGTGGATAGAGCGTCGGCCTGTGGGCTGAAAGGTTTCAGGTTCAATTTCAGTCAAGGGCATATACCTTGTTGCGGGCACATCCCCAGTAGGAGGTGTGTAGGAGGCAGCTGATGGATGTTTCTCTCCCATCGATGTTTCTAGCTCTCTATCCCTCTCCCTTTCTTTCTGTAAAAAATCAATAAAATGTATTTAAAACATACACACACACAAACCATAGTTGGAATCAGTATTAGCTTCAGGTGTACAACATAGTGATTCCACATCACCTTCCCATGTGATTAGCACATTAAGTCTAGTAACCACCTTCCACTGTGCAGTGATCGCCCTATTACTGACTGTATTCCCCTTAACTTTCTCACTCATCCTTTCACTTCCTACCCACCTACCTGGCAACCATCAGTTCTTTGTTTCTATGATCAGGCTTTATTTATTCACTTGTTTTGATTTGTTTTTAGTTTCACATATGAGTGAAATCATGCAGTATTTGTCTTTCTCTGTTTGACTTAGCATAATACCCTCCAGATCCATCCATGCTGTTGCAAACTTCATTCTTTTTTATTGCTGAGTAATATTCCAGTACCTGTGTGTGCATGTTTGTGCATGTGTGTAATCACATCTTTATTCATTCTTGAATTGATAGACATCTAAGTTACTTCCATATTCTGGCTATTGTAAATAGTGCTGCAGTGAATATAGGGATGCGTATATTTTGTATCTTAAATCTATATAGATTTAAGATACAAAATATACGCCTGATGAGAGAGAATCATTGATCAGTTCCCTCCTGCAAGCCCCCCATTGGGGATCTAGTTGCAACCCGGTCATGTGCCCTTGATCTGAATCGAACCTGGAACCTTTCAGTTCACAGACTGATGTTCTATCCACTGAGCAAACCAGCTAGCACTGTTTACTATCTTTTTAATAAAATGTTTTGCCCTGGCAGGGTAGCTCGGTTGGTTAAAAGTCCTCCTTAGTATGCCAAGGTTTCAGGTTCAGTCTCCATTCAGGACACATAACAGGAATCACCAAAGGAGGCGTAAATAAATGGAACAACAAATTGATGTCTTTCTCACTGTCGAATCAATTAATAAAATGATAATTTAAAATTTTTTGTTAAGTTTTCATATTTAACAGCAATGTGTTTATTCCTATATTTATTTAATTCCTACTGAGTGTAAGGCATCTGGGCTGTATAAACCTATAAAAGCTGTGGTTCCTGCCGATATAATTAAAATGTTAGTAATAAGTGAATAGATTTGCTGCATTGTCAAACATTTTGAGAAGTGTTTTCATTCTATAATCTCTCTTGTTAATTTTTGTTAGATCTTTTTTCCTTGTCTATAGGTGTCTTCATTTAAACAGTTATAATAGTACCCTTATTTGCACAAAGTCCCTGTTTTCAATTTTAAAATATTTATAAAATACAAAGTCTTATTGTAATGCTAAACGAGGTTTGAGGTTTGTTTACGTGCTTTTTTTAAAAAAATATTTTTTTTATTGATTTCAGAGAGGAAGGGAGAGAGAAAGAGAGAAACATCAATGATAAGAATCATTGATCAGCTGCCTCCTCCACACCTCCTACTTGGATCAAGCCTGCAACTCAGGCATGTGCCCTTGATTGGAATCGAACCTGGGACCCTTCAGTCCACAGGCCAACGAACACTCTATCCACTGATCCAAACCAGCTAGGGCTGTTTCCTTTTTTTTTTTTTTTTTTTTTTTTTTAATATATTTTATTGATTTTTAACAGAGAGGAAGAGAGAGGGATAGAGAGTTAGAAACATCAATGGGAGAGAATCATCGATTGGCTGTTTCTTGCACACCCCCTACTGGGGATGTGCCCGCAACCAAGGTACATGCCCTTGACCAGAATCGAACCCGGGACCTTTCAGTCCCCAGGCTGACGCTCTATCCACTGAGCCAAAAATGGTTTCAGCGGGCTTTTTACTTTTTAACAATTCCACATGTCTGGGCATTTATAAAACTATTATCAGTTTGTAATTCTTAAAACACATAAATTTTATTAATTTGTTTTTTTTCTAGGTTGCAATAAAAATAATTGACAAAACTCAGTTGAATCCAACAAGTCTACAAAAGGTAAGATTGGTCCAGTATCTAGTACTTTTTAAATGATTTTCTGTGCTAATTGCCATCTAATTTGCCTCTTAAATACCTCTACTAATATTTTACTTATTGTGGTTAGTACAGTAAAACTTTATATTCCTCCAAAGAATGCAACTTAAATGTAGCATTGTATAAAAGTAATAGTTTTGGATTTTTTCCTTAAGTTGAAGATAATGCTTTTTAATGTTCTCAGCAAACTGAAAGCTGTAATTTTAAATTAAATGTTCTAAATAATGATTAGAATAGAGTTTTTAAAAAAAAATAAGACAGAATCACATATTTTCCTATAATTCATTTTTAGTCAGCAATATACACTGTATAACTACTACTAAGATCTTTAAAGTCAGCATTTTGGCTTTCTTAAACTCACACTAGGTCAAATTAAGGAGTGTTGATTAATTAATATAAAAGGAATCCTGAATGGCAGTTGAGAAAAGCATGTCTGTAATGCACTGTTGCCATTTGTGTCACCTAGTAACCCAGTAGTTCTCAACCTGCATGTTAGACTCATCTGGGCCTCTTTAAAGCCCTGAGGACTGGCCCACGGGAGAAGTGTCATTGCTTAGGTAGTGCCTGGAAATAGGCATTTCACTGGTGCATTCTGCAAATGATTGATGATCTTTATAATAAGATCTAATATTTTTAGTGTTTTTTGTTTTTATTGATTTCAAAGAGGGAGGGAGGGAGGGAGGGACAGAGGGAGAGAGAGAAACATCCATAATGAGAGAGAATCATGGATTGCCTGCCCCATGTAAGTCTCCACTGGGGATTGAGCCCACAACCTGGGCATGTGCCCTTGACTGGAATTGAACCCAGGACCCTTCAGTTGTGGGACTTGATTGCTGTAGACTACTTCTTTTTTTAAAATATATTTTTTATTAATTTTTACAGAGGGGAAGAGAGAGGGATAGAGAGTTAGAAACATTGATGAGAGAGAATCATCAACCAGCTGCCTCCTGCACACCCCCTACTGAGGATGTGCCCGCAACCAATGTACATGCCCTTGACCGGAATCGAACCTGGGACCTTTCAGTCCACAGGCCGACGCTCTATCAACTGAACCAAACCGGTATTGGCTAGACTACTTCTGATAGCCTATATAATAAGCCTATATATATAATAAAGAGGTAATGTGCAAATTAACCCTCATGCACTCATAAGATGGCTCCCTATGACCAGGCCAGCAGGGGGTAAGTGAGGGACAGACAAATGACTGAACAAGCAGGCTGCATGGGGCGACCAGGTCGCCAGAGGGGTTACTGAGAGACAACCAAACTACTGAATAGCAGGCTGCTTGGTGTGACCAGGCTGGCAGGGGGGCCATGAGGGGCAGCCAGGCAGTGGGGTGGGGGTGGGGGCAGTTGGGGGCGACCACGCTGGGGAAGGGGGCAGCTAGGGGCAACCATGTCGGCAAGGGGGGCAGTAAGAGGTAATCAGGCTGGCGCGGGGAGAGGGGCAGTTAGGGTCTATCAGGCCAGCAGGTGGGGAAGTGCAGTTGGGAGTGACCAGGCTGGCAAGGGGGCAGTTGGGGGTGGTTAAGCTGATAGGGGGGAAGTGAGGGGCAACTAGGCCAGCAGGTAGAGGCAGAGGGGAGCAGTTAGGGGCCACCAGGCAGGTAGGTAAGTGATTAGGAGCCGGTGGTCCAGGATTGTGAGAAGCAGTTGGATATCCCCCAAGGAGTTCCAGATTGGAGAGGGTGCAGGCTAGGCTGAGGGGACGCGCACACACACACACACAAATTTTGTGCACCCTGCCGCTAATATTTGAGCATTTATTATATACTGAGCACTGCTCTAAGTGTATTACCCATATTAACTTACTGTATTAGTTTGCTCAAGCTGCTATAACAAAATACCATAGACTGGCTGGCTTAAACAACAGACATTTCTTTTGCACATTGTAGAGGCTGAGAGGTCCCAGATCAGGATGCCAGCTTGGTTGGGTTCTGGTGAGAGTTCTCTTTCAGTGGCTGCCTTCCCACCATGTCTGGGGCTGGGAATGCACAGCGCCAGGGCACACAAGCATACTCTGGTAACTGCTATAAGTCACCGAGCCCATCATGAGGGCCTGCCCTCGTGTTATCATCTAAACTACTCAGTTCCCAAATGGCCTATCTCCCCATACCATCACCTGTGGGCTAGGGTTTAGCATGTGAATGTGTGGGGAACAAAATTCGTTCTTTGTATTCATTTGATCTTTCCCATTTCATGAGGTTGTCAAGTTCTGTTATTCAGGAAAGAGATGCCAGGGAGATAAACTAACCTGCCCAAAGTCCCCTAACTAGTAGGGGTAGAGTTGACAGAGTCAAGCATGGATGAATTCTAAATGAACATGTTTGCCACAGTTCAGACCAGAGAGCACTAGTGCTAAGCAGTGCCCTGGCGTCACTATTGTATATTAATGCATAGGAATTCCTGGTCATTAATCTTAAAGCCTGGCCTCTCATGCTCTTGAACTCTTTCATGGGAGCCGGCCTGATAGGTATCTTTTCTTCTTCATACTCTGTTACTTCAGTATTATTACCGTGCTACTTTCCTGTGAGGAGACAGCCTGAGAAGTGGGTGCAGTCCAGCTCTCCGGTCAGTAAGTGATGGAACAAAGACACAAATATTGGTGCACAGGCCGACGCTTTATCAACTGAACCAAACCGGTTTTGGCTAGACTACTTCTGATAGCCTATATAATAATCCTATATAATAAAGAGGTAATATGCTGAAATAGGGGCTCTTTTCATCCCATTGTGCCACCTTACTGTAATTAAACAGCCCTCATTCAGGGTTTATAAAAACTTGGATGGGAACTAACCTGAGGTTTTCTTTGTAGTAGCTATAAAGAAGGTAGTTAAGCCCTTCTGTTGTCACTCAGTGGTTGAGCGTTGACCTATGAACCAGGAGGTCACAGTTCAATTTCCGGTCACGGCACATGCCCAGGTTGCGTGCTTGATTCCCAGTAGGAGGCAGCCGATAAATGATTCTCTCTCATCATTGATGTTTCTCTCTCTCCCTCTCCCTTCCTCTCTGAAATCAATTTTAAAAATATACATATATGGCCGGGACCGGTTTGGCTCAGTGGATAGAGTGTCGGCCTGCGGACTGAAGGGTCCCGGGTTCGATTCCGGGCAAGGGCATGTACCTTGGTTGCGGGCACATCCCCAGTGGGAGGTGTGCAAGAGGCAGCTGATCGATGATTCTCTCTCATCGATGTTTCTAACTCTCTATCTCTCTCTTCCTCTCTGTGAAAAATCAATAAAATATATTTTAAAAATAAATAAATAAAAATATACATATATGTATTTTTAAATAAAGTGGTTAATAGTTCAAGTTTGGAGGAATATTTCAGGTACTTAAGAGAAGCAGGCCTGGGGGAGGAGGAGGGGAAAAGGAGGTGAGAGGGAGGAAGATATCAGTGGTTAGCCAGCTTTAAGCACATCTAGGAATGCAGGCTGCTCCTTACTATGCCACCTTTTCCAGTGTCAGATATTCTTCTTTTCTTTTCATTTGCTCAACATTGATCCGTTTTTTAGAAACTTATTCAGTAGTAGTCTCTATTCTGCCATACAGGGTTATAGAAGTTAAATCTACTGCAGCAAACATAGCAATCTTATTTTGGGTCTTGGTTCAGTCTCCTGAGTAAATACTTCTCTTCTTGGGCCAGTCACAGGAATAATTGCCTTCCACATGGGCCTAGTTTTGTTCATGAGTATTGTTGCTTTTTTTTCTTACTTGAATTTATTTGATTTGTGCTAATAACTGGTTTTCTGCCGTAATTCCAGTCTATTTGGGTATTTTTAAAATAATGAGTCTTTGTATTAGCTCTCACTTCTAGTTCGATGCTGTATAAATCGGATAGGGATAATTCATCTATTATCGATAGTTAAAATATCTAACAGGGCTCTTAGTGGAGAATACACCCTTTAGTTAAAGATCCTGCTGGCCCAGTAGTGAAGCGTTTTTTGAGTAAAGTTCAAGCACCATTTTGCAATGCAGGTTTCAGTAAGAGAAAGGGGAATCTCTGTGTTTTAAAAAATGTAATAAAAAAAATACTAAGGACAACAAAAGAATGAACATTAAATATTCTTTGCTAACTATACAATAGGTTGCTAATGATTATTGAAGCATTATTGACTCTGTATGAGCCCAACCAGAGCCAGGGATTGAACCGTGCTCTTGACCATGAGTTGAACCTTCGACTCCTTAGTCCTTGCATCAACACTTTAGCCATTGGACAAACCATCAAGGCCAAGATTCCTTTTTTTTTTTTAATATATTTTTATTGATTTTTTTTACAGAGAGGAAGGGAAAGAGACAGAGAGCCAGAAACGTCAATGAGAGAGAAACATCGACCAGCCGCCTCCTGCACATCCTCCACCGGGGTTGTGCCCGCAGCCAATGTACATGCCCTTGACCGGAATCGAACCCGGGACCTTTCAGTCCGCAGACCGACGCTCTACCACTGAGCCAAACCGGTTTCGGCCAAGATTCCTTTTATCAGCCGAAGCTGGTTTGGCTCAGTGGTAGAGAGTCTCGGTCTGCGGACTGAAAGGTCCCAGGTTCGATTCCAGTCAGGGCATGTACCTTGGTTGCAGGCACATCCCCGGTAGGGGGTGTGCAAGAGGCAGCTGGTCGATGTTTCTCTCTCATCAATGTTTCTAGCTCTCTATCTCTCTCCCTTTCTGTCTGTTAAAAGTCAATAAAATATATTTTAAAAAAAAAAAAAAAAAGGAAAGAACAGTGGTTATTAGTCCTGAATGTTGTTGACGATCTGGCATCTGTATTGGGATCAGTGTGTGGATCTGGTACACTGATAGAAACAGAGTGGTAAGTGAAATTGAAGACAAGTCCCTCTTGATTATACATATTTGAAGTATTGAGACTAAAAATGGATATATATTTCTTTATTGTCAGATTTCAAAAGCAGTAATAGAAAGGAAGAAAACCCAGCTTTGGTGCAGCTTCTGCCTTCTGGGGAACTTT